AAAGAGATGTAACTCTACCTAGCTCCAGGGAGGCGAGGCGCGAGATTGCTCGAGTCGGATTCAAAACAGCCTGAGCAAGAGCGAGACCCGTCTCTACTATAAATAGAAAGAAACTAATTGGCCACTAATATATATAGAAAAAATTAGCCAGGCATGGTGGCGCATGCCTGTAGTCCCATACTTGGGAGCTGAGACAGAAGATCGCTTGAGCCCAGGAGTCTGAGGTTGCTGTGAGCTAGGCTACGCCACGGCACTACTCTAGCCTAGCAACAAAGTGAGACTCTGTCTCAAAAAAAAAAAAAAAAAGAATTCATTTAGTCGCTAGAATCCACTTTGTACAAATCACTAATTGACCTCTGTTTTACATATCAATCTCCTAGGTCCAATCAGCTCAGAACCTCGGCCTGCCAGGTGAAGCATGGTTGATTTCACCAAGCCTGTGCAACCTGCTGAGGCTTCTTCATGGTCAATCTGGATCTCTGCAGGTTACCCAACTCATTTCACACTTCTTCCATTCCAACACCAAACTTGCTGCCCTAACACGTCTTTGACAAAGACATTCAAAGATTTAAAATACTCGTGAAAAGGCATTAAAAAACTAATGTATGCCCTTACATAAACTGAATATACTCCTTAACTGGTTCTTGAAGTGAAAAGTATATAGATTTCAAGTCTTCCCAACAGGCACCTTTCCTACACTGCTGGATTCCACAGGACCAAAATAAGAACAAGCAACTGCACATGACAACTTAACCAAAACACTTCTTTCCCTCGCATATTTTCACTCCCAATCATAATTATTCATTCTACACTTCATGTATGCAGAGGAATTATAACTCTGCAAAGAAAAATAGTAATACTCCTTAATTTTGACCCTGTTTCTAAAATGCCCTCCCTAGAAACTTAGTTGATTTAATTTACTGAATTGAGAATCCTACAAAATTCTTTCAAGATAGTACTTTCATATTTAGACTTGTATCTTTTTGCTTTTAGAGTTAATACCAAGTAAGCATCTGTTTGTTGATTTGGCCACTAAAAATTGCTAAGAAAATTCCTTTTCCAGTAAATGCAGACTACTTTCCAATTCCCTTTTCAGCATGATCAAAACCTGTGAATACTTATCAGACCACATTCTTTTTTTTTTTTTAAACCAGTTTTCCTCCTACAGACAGGAAATGTCAGTAGCCACTTATTCTTTCCAAGTTGGTGTCGACAGGGCTACTGAGTATGACCAAGGACTCTATTTCTATTCTTGTTCTCAGCCAAGATTCTATTCTTAGCCTGATACCAAGAATACTCTATCCAGGAATGTCTTGTGAAGTAGCACTGTAACCAGCTCTGTGTATCCCTATATTATTTTTATAATCTTCTCCCTTAACTAACTACTCAACTCCTTGAGTTGTTTACCAGAAATGATGGACTTGAACTCCTGGCTTCAAGTGACCCTTCCACCTCGGCCTCCCAAAGTGCTGGGATTACAGGCGTGAACCACTGTACCCGGCCTGAAATGATGGATTTTCCATAAGACAAAGGAGTTGAGATTATGAAGGCCCCAAAGCAGACTTCCTGCCACCAAGATTTACCACCCCCCTCAACCTGCACCCAATGCACATAAACCCTTGTCAGATACACCACAGCCAGCCCAAGGCACATGGTCCCTCCTTCAAAGTCCATGATATCCCTTTGTTGAAGAGACAGATTTGAGGCAGCTGCTCCTATTCTCCCAACAAGATGTCTGTCGTATTAAAGATTTCTTTCTTCCTTGGCAATCCTCATTGTCTCAATAATTGGATTTTTGTGCAACAAGTAACTGGACCTAGACCAAATCCCTTGTGGTTTTGACAACAGGACTACATTGTTTAGGCTGCGATCAAAGATCCTGAGTATGACCATTATCCCTGGAGTCAGCTCTGGCCAAAAAGTCTGAGTCATTCCTAGTATTACGTAGGGCTTCTAATTAGCTCTGTGTAAAACTCAGGGTTTGACCAAACATGTCCCTAGGGAACTGTCATAACTACGTATCTTGAAAATATCCCAGATCTTCACTACTTGTTCTATGCAGACCCTACTAACCAAGAACCCAGATCCTGTTTTTCTCATGTTTAAAATTCTGAATAAACGTGTTCAAAAGGAGAACCTACTTCCTCTATAAATATGGGCCTCCAAGGTGACCCAGATAATTCTGCACACACCAGGCAGAAAGCCTTGGTTCCCCAAAACAAGATTTGAAATCAATACCAGTGGTGGTCCATGCCTTAAAATGACATCGTAAATCTGAGTAGCAGACAAATTGTCATATGATGTATCTAATAGATTTATAAGGTAGTAAGGTTATTATTTTTCACATTTTAGCAGCTATAACAATAACAACCATGGTTCTAACAGCTAACATTGATTGAGTATTCACCACATGCTGGACATTTTATAAGCATCATCTAATATCCTAATGGCCTTTCAAAGTATTACTTTCTAGAGGTGGTAAAACCAAATAACTTTGTCAATCTGGTTAAAGTATCAAACTGGGATTTAAGCCCAAATCTATATTATTCTAGTTCTTGAGGTTCGCAGTCCTGCTTTAAAAAAAAAGAAAAAAGGAAAATATCAATCTTACATTTTGGTTGGATTTTATGAGTGAACCTCAATTTTATAAACTGATAAATTATTCATATTTTTGATATTTCCCTTTGTATTTCTTCCAACTTTACATTATCATCTGTGGTAATAAGACTGGACAAGAAAAAGAGTCTCAAATGTGCACTGAGCAAAGTACTTACGTAGTCAATGGGCTTGAGAGATTTGACTCTAGACGTTGGGCAGCCACAGGAAGTAAGGTCGGCATAGAGGCCTTCTTCTAATACACACTGATTATAAAAAATGCCCTCTTGGTAATACAGGAGCCAGCTAAAAACAAAGCATTAAGACAGTCAGTCAAATTGCATTCAGGGGGCAGCATAGGCTCACCATCATGCTGTGGGACCTGGGGTGGGCGTAGGACACACAAGTAGTCGTGCTGACCAGCATCAGTAAACAACAGCTGTCACTGTCATTCACCGACTGCTCGCCGTGTGCCAGGCACTAGGCTAGGTACTTCACATATATTATTTCACTGTGCTCTCAAGAATTCTGAGTCAGAAATATATCTCATTTTTACAGGTAATAAAACTAAGGATTAGAAAGGTTAGGTGATTTGCCCAAGTATAAAACT